CTGCTGGTACACTAAATAATTTACATAATTTCAATAACATATGTAACACCTATTTTTTACCATTCTGGATGTACCGTATGATCGAAAAAAAAGGCGTCCAGTTGAATTGCAAATGACACTATACGTGACATTCCCCATATAATTTTACATATAAAATGACAGCGATCTTCATTTCATAGCCATAGCTGACGCCGTATTTTTCGATTATATTGTATAATATTAACTGTGAACTGAACCCATTAGCTCATTTAACTTTGTTTTAAATGGCATAAGGCAGTCGTAGGCTAGACTGTAGAATGTAGTAGGGGGGTTTAATCACCGCGACCATACAGATCTATTGTGTTCCCCTTTCTTGAGTTGTAACAGGTCATAATTCATCACACAGTCTCAGGGCTTTGACGAAAGCCAGTATCTGAGACGGCTACAGAGAGGCCAGATCTCTTCGAAATCAGCCGTACCAAAGTTTATGGCACGAATGGTTGCTGTTTCGGCGCACTCGGTGATAAGGTGTTCTGGTATTTCCCCATTTTCCCACCGAATCTGCATTCGCCGTTGTTTCTCAGCTTCAATCTACTCGAGGTGTTCGTTGAGGAGACAGTACCCCAAAGTGTTAGAACCCTGTAACAATCCGAAGATTGCTTTTACTTAAATCAAGGAAAATCTTTGATTTTACTCGGTTGTAAGCTCTGAGGAACTTGTTTGAGTGTCTTAGACCGTTGGAGGATTCCTATTCCAGGTTACGGATGGAACCCTCCAGGTTCTTCTGTTCGGCTTTAAGTTGGTTTCGGTTTGACAAAGCAGAACGATTCTGGTCCAGTTAGTGGAGTGCTCGCTCCTTTTCTAGCTAGATCGTTTGCTTTTTCATTGCCTTCTATCCCTTGGTGAGCGGATAGAAGGAGAGGGGCAGGTGAGTAGGCGAACTTTATTTTCTATGCCTAATTTGCTGCCTAAAGGATGCTGGGGTAGATGCCCACTGGTTTGGAGTATTTTGTTTTGGGCCCAAATTCTTCTATCACTGTCCCTTCTTTGGTTTTGGAAGCATCAGTATCAGTAGCGGGCTAACAAATCTTTAGAATGGTGAAAATATTATGATATTCTCGAAACTTATCGTATCATCAGAATTTACGATAGACCTGATAAGCAGACTGGAAAATCTGTTTGTTAAATTTTCCTGTTTGGTATTAATATATAATTATATCAGCAAAACTGGTATGACATCCAACCATATGCCATAATTTCCTCTACCTTTTATAGATAACAACCATGAAATACAATAAATATTTTCAGTAATAATATAAAATGAACATGGACACTCATCTATTCTAATAATTTATTTGCATCATTAATGACACATAATAAATTTACAAGAGAACAGTTTTATCGACTTCACCTGCTACAATATTTTTCTGTCCTGTATGTGTGTTTTAGTAAATTGCTTTAAATTAAAAACTTAAATCTTTCCATGCTTCTTCAGCTTTTTTATATTTCCTCCATTTTAATGTATTTTATTTATCATATGACTATTTAACATATTCAAGCTTAAATAGCAAAGTATGTAAAATATAAAAAATGATACAAACCAAAAAAAAGCGTCTAAAGTACCAATTAGAATTAGAATAAGTGGGGGGGGGGGTTAATCTCTGCGACCTTAGAGATCTATTGTGTCCCCCTTTCTTGAGTTATAACTCATCATACAGTCCCAGGACTTCCTACGGAGACCCGTGTCCCTCACAGTCGAGGAGCTACGACCCAGACTGGGTAGACGAAACGGTAGCTTGTGTCGTCTGTTGGGTTTAGAGGTAGGAGGTAGGCTCCCGACCCTTGGAGGAGGTGGTAGCTTGTATGCCACTTGCGGAGGATGGTCTCACGCAAGTGTCAGCTACCTCTCCTGTAGTTCTCTTTGGGTTTGGCCCCTTGGAACTTTCATTGTTACTGTTCCCAGTGTCGCTAGGCGGTTTCCCCACAGCTTCACCGGTGATGTTTTTATTACTATTATTATCAGATCTCATAGTGTTCCTATGAGTCGCTAGGGACAGTCGGTCCACTTCTACAGAGCCCCGCATGTAGAAGTAAGGGGTAAAATACAATGGGGTGCCCCCCGGTGCCCCAAGGTTGAGGCTGTCCGTAGCCCCGTCCGGTATCGTTATATGTCTTGGTGCAATTCTCTGGCCATGACACTACAGTCAGGGACAAGACGATGAGTGAGATGCTTCTTAGACCAAGCCAAGTGCTAGAGAGGATTCCCCCCAACACCTGACCAGGAGCTTCCCCACCAACGACAAGGTCTTGCATCTCCTAGGGGAAGTAAAGTACCAAAATCAGTATAAACATTCACATAGGACAAACTTTAACAATTTACAAACAAATATCTAGCTTATTCAGATAATCTTTCGACTCAGGAAGTCCTCTTGGTTCGCCATCAGGAAGTCCTCTGGTTGGCCGTGATACTATGTTATAGGACATTTTTCCGCAATATGTCTGATGGTCTGGTCTTTAATGTAAACATGCTTGAACATGTGCCGAATTCATGAAAATGACGTTATTTTGACAAAAAACTGAACTCGATTAACAAAAACGGTCATTTATAAGAATGTAATTTAATACAATAATAAGCTGGCAACAAACAGTTAACCTGAGTTCCTGCCAGCAGCGTTAATTACCAATATAGCGGAAGATTAATAAAGACAATATTTGTCTCGTTTCAAAATGGGACAAAATAAACTAAATTCGGTAAGAAAATCTTTATCTATGTACCACGTGTATTATAAAGTGTTAAAACCCTCGGGTAATTATTGTTCTCGGTAATTAACAGAGAGAGAAACTTTACTCTCGGTAATTAATACCCTAATATTTCCTTTAATAACAATAACAATAACTATCTCCTTATAAAATTTGTTGGGTGGTAAATAAAACCATTCTACAATTTGTTAAGATAAATCATTAAGATTATTTCACTTGTTCATCGAACCTAATCCCAAACAACGGCGACATTTTTTTAATAGACAATGGTTTACATTCAAATATTTTGCTAGTTGCAAATATCGGTTTTGTAATTAAATCGGAATTTCCCATATATACTGTTAGTCGACCGTCCCGGGGAAAAACCTAACCTACCTCGCCCGCTTTTTAGCAGCGACAAAATAGACCATAAAAAGAAATTAAGTGTGAACTGTCTTTCTTTTATTGTGGTCGATGGTGACACCTTTACTGGTCTGTCATCAAAATCAGTTTGTTACGCTTGCTGACAATTAAAATTCAAATTCTTTTTGTTTGTTAGTTTATTTTAGATAGCAGCTCGATTGTTGCCATTTTTTTCAACGTCTAAATTAATGTATCGGTTGGATGTTTCCGGGGATTCACGAGAATAATTGTCACCTGAACGGCGAGTCTCGGCTAAATTTAATGGTATACAGAGTGTCCTGATATTGGGTGGAATATTGCGTATTTTTAGAATCAAAATAGGTTCATTGGACACAATTTACCTCTATACAAAGGCGCTTCGTTTATCCGTTAGAGGACAAACTTAAAGTTAATGAATTTAAAATATATGAAGCTTATTGTCAAATATAATTTGTGATCATCATCATCATCATTTAGCTTATACCGTCCACTGCTGAACAAAAGCCTCCCTTAACTCTAGCCATTTCCTTCTATTTTGTGCCACTTGAATCCAGTTTCCAGCCACCCTGTTAATGTCATCTGTCCATCGACTAGGAGGTCGTCCTCTGCTTCTATAGGCCTCGTGTCCCGGTCTCCATTCCACAAGTCCTGCCCAATTCCATTTAAGATGTAAGACAGATATCACCGCATCTCTTACTCCTGTTCGATTTCGTATTGTATGATTGGGTATTTTATCTCTGAGTGTAACTCCCAACATAGACCTTTCCATTTTCCGTTGCATGACCTGTATTCTATGTATGTTCTTTTTTGTCAAAGTAAGCGTTTCAGCTCCATACGTGAGGACAGACAACACACACTAGTTAAAGATCTTTCTTCTTAAACATATGGGAATATCAGATCTCAGTATATGCCTTAGTTTGCCAAATGCCGCCCACGACAAACCTATTCTTCGTAGAATTTCTTGGGTCTGATTATCCCTTCTAATACCGATCTCATGCCCTAAGTATTTATATATATATATATATATATATATATATACATTATATATATATATATATATATATATATATATATATATATATATATATATATATATATATATATATATATATATATATATATATATATATATATATATATATATATATATATATATATATATATATATATATGCACTTGTTCCAAAGGTATGTTATTAATGTTTAAATTTCCACTTAGTACTAGGTTTGTCATGTATTGTGTCTTTGACAAGTTAATTTTCAAACCGACTTTTTCCGAAGCATCATTCAGCATATCCAGCATATTCTGTGCCTCCTGTATGTTGTCTGTTATTAAAATAATGTCATCTGCAAAACAGAGATGATTTATCAATTTGCCATCGATGTTAATTCCTGTTGAATCCCAGTTTATCATTTTTAGCATACTTTCTAGCACAGCAACGAATAGTTTAGGGGACAGTGTGTCGCCTTGTCTTACCCCTCGATCGATATTGAATTTATCTGTGCATTGATTTGTCGATATTCTGACGTTTGCCGTGGCATTATCATATATATGTCTTATGATTGAGGAGTATCGATGATCGATGCGACTCTCACTTAGTGTCTCTAGAAACTTCCGCTGGTCTACCGAATCGAAGGCCTTCTCGAAATCCACGAAGACAAGCATTAGTGGTCTATTATACTCATTGCATTTCTCGATAAGGACCTTGACTGTTAGAAGATGGTCATTTGTTCCGTAACCTGATCGGAAACCTGCTTGTTCGCTCGAAAGAAAAAAGTCTATTTTATTTGTCAAACGCTTGGTGAGTATTTTAGTAAATAATTTGTATACGTGGCTAAGAAGGCTGATGGGCCTATAGTTTTTAAGGCCTGTAGCGTCACCTTTCTTGTGTACAATAATGATGGTTGCGTTGTTCCACTGTGATGGGGTTATTTCTTCTTCAATGCATTTATTAAATAGGACATTTAAAGCTTTGATAATTTCTGGTCCTCCTTCTTGGATTGACTCTATTACCAATCCATCGTCGCCGGCAGCTCTTTTGTTTTTCATATCTCTAAGGGCACTGATAATTTCTTCCTCGGTTATTTCTGGAATTTCTTTCGACCCCTGATTTATTACCTTTCGGATGTCGGTTTTGATCCCCTGCGGTTTTGATGTGTAAAGTTCTTGATAGAAAAGTTTAATAGAGTGTAGGATTTCCTGTTTGTGTGTTACTATGTTGCCGTGCATATCCTTGATCTTTTGTATTTCTTTTCTTCCCATTGTACTATTTCTCAATATCTTCAAACTTTGATTCTTCTCTATGACTTTCCTCCTATGCTTTCTGATTTCCTATGCTTTCTGATAATTTGTGATACTAACATAAAATTCTATATTTTTGCTTGATTATTAGCGCATAACAGATGCTTCTGCATAGCTTGATGTGGCAAGAAATATTTTTTGAAGATTAGATTCGGAAAAACGTTTTTTTTTCTCAACAGTATGCGCGGTGGCGTTTTTTCAAAACATTTTGCGTTTTTAACAAAAAATGTAGTAACTACTAGAGGGACCATTTTACGAAAAGTATAAATTGGTTGTCGGTAGAGTTGGAAAATATTTATACTAAAATTTATCTAGGAGAGGGGATAGTCTTCACCCTTCCCGTACTTTTTCTTGATTTTTGTTAAAGCACTTAGCAAAACATAGGTACCCCAAATCTGAATTGGAATAACGGTTCTTAAATAATCTGAAAAAATGTGTTTACTTTTTTAAAGGTTGATGCCCTCTAATGGAGAATCGAAGCACTTTTATGTAGGGGTAAATTGTGTTTAATAAACTTATTTTGATTTCAAAAATGCATAGTAGTTCTATATGTCCACGGAATATTGGGACACCCTGTATACAGCTTATTTTAGCTTATTTTGCGTAAAATATAAAAACTAGGATCATTTTCTCTAAATTAAAAAAAAATATTTACTAAGTGAAACAAAAGTACTGAAAATTAGAAATCGTTACCTTAAATCATTATTCTTAAATTCGAGAGAAACCTATTTCTATACCAGGTGCGTCTCAAAAGTGACTCACTCTCTGTAACTTTTTTATTTTTTCAGTTAAAAGACGGGATTTGGTATGTTAGTATATGACATAAATTAGGTTTGATTGACGTATTCAATTGTTTTTGGTCGCTTCCTGTTTCCCCGCAATATGAATACAACATTTGATTTTTAAATGGCACCCTCAGTATATTTTTACTTTAAAATTACACTCATACATAGACATTTTTGCGTATGGTTTACTTGAAATTGTAACATGCGATTCATAACGACAATTTGACTCGAAATAACAAGTGCAAAAAATGCTTTTTCCAAATATCGTCGGTGAAACGTGATGAACTGCTAACTCCATTATTCCTAATTTTACAGGAGAGCAAAAAAACGGTACAAAAAAATATGTACACATGTAGGAAGTATTTTGATGCGTTAATATGATAAAGAGATAATAATTTTATTTGCTGGGGAACAATAAAACTCAATATTTCGTGTTACGTCATTTTTTTCAGACACAATAGGGAGAGAGCAGATATTCGTCTTGCAGAAATAAGAAATAAAAATATACTTCTGGAGATAGCAATCTTTATTGTTTGAAATTTGGAAAATGGAAATGAATATTACCCAAACAGATTTAGAAATAATCAATTAAAATTAAAAAATATGATATTTATAACAATATATTTATAATATAGTCGGTCTAGAAGCAAAACATACAAGTCCAAAAACGAATAAATTTTTAATGAAAATTTTAAAAATTTTTGCATTTTTAAAGAACTGAAGTGGCAGAATTTTGGACTTAATGAATATGAAAATAATTTAAAAATTAAACTTATAATTTTTAGAAGATATGGTAGAATCCTTCCATGCTTATCTCCTAATTTTTATACAAAGGTAGTAGTCCGAGCTTGGAAGACCAGTGCGTGATTTTATTAAATTTTTATTTCTTTTCTCCTTATTTTTTTAATTTTTATAAAAATTATGTATCATTTACGTGAAAAAAATAAAACTGATTAAGTATTATGGAAATTCTTGTACAAGTAAGTAATGTTATTTAAACTATTTATAGCACGCCGATGAATTGCTCGTATATAGAGAATTTCGTTTTTCCCCTTACCCTTTACGGATACCCCGTATTTACAGAACGGATCGACGCAGGGTCGGACTGGCCATATTATATAGATAACTATTAAGGGGGGGGAGGCAGCCTTCGCGGGCCCCCCTATAGTTTATTATTTATTCTTAACAATGTTTGCTTTTGCATAGCATTATGGAATTTGCATTGCATTGTTTTACCTTGCATTAGGGTAGTTCCCTGATTTCTATACAGGATGAGTCTTAAATAAGTGCAAATATGTTCAGAGCTGGTAAATCTCGATAAAAGAAACATAATATTTTCTCTTTACCGTTTTTTCAAATAAATCCAAAACAACCGAGTTATTTCACTTTTAAAATTTCCAATTGTTTGCTATAATTTTGAGAATCATTGGATTTTCTTTCTTGTTCATTTAATACTCACTCAGTATATAATAGGGAAAAATTGACCAAAACGTAAGGCGAAAAAATACGCAAAAAAAACACACGGGTCCTTCCTTACATTGCCACCCGGGCCCCTTTGGCCTAGTGCGACCCTGGATCGACGTACTGTACTAATAAAAACATACGACTAAGAATCTGTGTTTTTGCTTTAGTGTGATCGTAACGGAAATTACGGAGATAGCAGCATTTCGGTGGCTATTTCAGATCACTAGGAGTTAGCAGATATTATTGAGTTAAAATAAAAAATTTTCTTTAATGGGAAAAAATGTGTTTGCTTTTTGCTTTCCCTATTTATGGTGTATTTTTTTCTCTTTTTAATGGTATAAAAAAACTTATTAACGTAAAAAATGGAGTTAGGAGGTTATCACGTTTCACTGACGATATGCAAATATGCCACCCTTGTTTCGTTTGAAAAAATTGAGATATTATTAAAAATAAAATTTGGGCATCTTTTAACCGCCCAGTATAAGACACTAAAAACATTGGACCTTGATTAAAACTTAGTGTTGTTAAGACAACCATGGCACTCTAGATTGCAATTTAAAATACGATTTTCTTAAGCCATAATGTCAAAAGTTGACATAATATGATATGTCATTCTATTCGGAATGTCATTTTCTATCGAATAAAGTAAAAATATACTGACGTTGCCATTTAAAAATCAAAAATTGTAGTTATTTCCTGTGTAATCATCCTCTGATATCCATTCTCTGCCCATATCCGTAACATACAAGTTTTTGGGCTATTAAAAATTCCTCTATACCTATCGTCTGCTGGATATCTTCATTTCGAACTCGATCTCTTTTTGAAATTAAGGTTCTTCTATATGCAGTAACTACTGCTTCGAATTTTCTTCGGTGAGCTTCTTTTATTTTCCATGTCTCTGCCCGTAGAGTAGATTGCTCATTATAAAGGTTTGGCATATACGTATATTAATCTTTCGTTGTTTCCCTATTTCATTAGTCCAGAATACCCCACTCAGACAGCTAATGGTTCTTCTAGCTTGTGTTATTCTTTTTTTAATCATCTTGTTATCTTTACCTGTTTTATCAAATATCACTCCTAAATAGTTATAGTCACTGCAGGATTTTATTTCTTTATTTTCCAATTGAACGCTAGATAATTCTGCACAAGTTGGTAGGTACTTAGTTTTTTGTGTGTTTATTTCCAATCCCTATTCATCTAAGAAAATAAATCTAATTCTAATTTAACAAAATGCTTTTTACATTTATACAGGGTGGTCCGAATTGTATTCCGGAAACTTCGGCAGCATATTCTGCAGATAAGTAAAAAATTCTTCTAAATGTATGTCCTAAAATGCTTAGTTTCGGAGATACAGGGTGTGGAAGTTTAGTTTTTATTTCGATTTTTTCCAAATAATTTCTGAAGTAACGTTAATATTTGGATGAAATTTGGTATCTGGGAGGTTTTTGATATGAGAAATTTGATTTTGATGTCAATATGACCCCTACTTGTAGAGGGTGCCATCTACATATATTTAATTGGTTTGAAGAGTCATAACTTTTCGTCCGTACCTGTATAACACTACTAAGTATAAAAATATACATTTGCGACGTTTTTAAAGTAATAAAGGTCTCTTAATAAAAATCGCTACGAGAAATATTTCTCGAGATATTTGAAATCGAAATTATCAATACCTGTCATCATTGGCATAAATTAAACATGCTGACTAAATAGTTAATAGACTGAAATCATAAATTAGAAATGTTTTTGTGCCAAATCATCATCAATCATCATTTTTTCGAAGATGCAAACCAAAATTATCATTTCAGTCAAATAACTATCTACTAAACATTGTTTATTTTCTGTCAATAACGACATGTATTGACTAATTCCCTTCTAAATATCTCGAGAAGGGTTGCTTTTAACGATTTTTACCAAGAGACATTTCTTACGTAAAAAATTACGAAAATGTATATTTTTTTACTTAGTAATTGTATACAGGTACGGACAAAAAGTTATTACTCTTCAAAACAGTTAAAACACATGTAGGTGGCGCCCTCTATAAATAGGAGTCATAATGACATCAAGATCAAATTTCCCATGTCAAAAAAAACTACCAGATACCAATTTTAATCCAAATATTGACGTTACTTCAGAAATTATTTGGAAAAAATCGAAATAAAAGTAAACTTCCACACCCTGTATCTCCGAAACTAAGCGTTTTAGAACATACATTTATACGAACTTTTTTATTTATTTTTATTTACAGAATATGTCGCTGAAGTTTCCGGAATACAGTTCGGACCACCCTGTATATGACAGATGTAGCATCACAGTTATTTTTATTAATGCGTTTTCTAATCCAATCTCTAAAAAATATTTTTTTTTTGATGAGAAAGGAAATAATCTTGTATAAGACACCCACAGTTAGATAGTGACTGATTCCTACCGGCTAAAAAATCTCCTCCATTACAACTTTACACCGGAGTCCGCTGTCATATTGCTTCAGTGCAAACGGTGTCTGGATATACTTCATGGTGCTCATTGTCTCTCTTTCCTCTCTTTACAGCCTATTATATTTGGGATTATCCGATATATTAGCTTCCATTGTTCTTCCCCTTCAACTAAGTATATCATAAAGGCAGATAAGTACCTGCCGGATTCCATACAGAATTTTTCCCTAAACCATTTACACGCAAACAGTGTATGCTGAACATCATCAACTTGACCACA